CGGTCTTTGATCATCAGTGATCAATGCATTAAATCTACTCTTGAGATGACCTCTAAATTCAGGTGGGATATGTTCAAGAGGTCATATTTTGGCTCTCGTGGACTTGGTTTTGTTTCCTTCAGTTTCAGTCGGAACTTACCTATGATCTATTCCATAGTTGGCCCCTGGCCTTGTTTTGGCTGATGATGGTTTTCCATCATCTCTTAACACAGATGTAGTCAATTTGATTCTTGTGTATTTCACCTGGTGAGGTCCTTGTGTATAGTTGCCATCTGTGTTGTTGACAGAAGAAGACCCCCTCAACAAGATGGGCTTGAAAGTAGCAATGACTGTGAGACTGGCGCGGGACCCAGCAGTGTTTCCTTCTGTTGTGCACAGGCTCTCAGTGAATCAGTACCCACTCCATGGTACCCAACAAGTTGTTGAAAAAAGGTATTTGCAATGAGTGAGTCTTGCAAAATTCTGTCACGTGACAGAACCATTTCTATCACCAAGGCCAACTACTGATCCTTCTTTGTTTCTGATTATTGCATTCCAATCACCAGTAATGGTCAATCTTACATGTAATCAAATCTTGGTTACATTATTTGATCAATTTCAGACTGAAGAAGTTGGTAAATTCTTCAATGTCTTCATCATTGGCTTTAGCGGTTGTCAATATGAGTAATTGTTGTATTAGTAGATCTTCCTTGGATGTGTATGGATACTGTCCTATCACAAACAGCACTGTACTTCTAGATATATTTTTTGAAATGCTTTTTTGACGATGGTGCCACTCTGCTTCAATTTGATTATAGTAAGTCATATGATTGACTCAAAATGTCCAATACCAGTCCATTTTAGCTCATTAATGCCTAGGATATCAATCTTTATACATGCCATTTCATTTTTTTACTTCTCATTTTCCTAGATTAATCCTTCGTACATTCCATGTTCAATTAATAAATGTTTGCAGTTCTTTCTTCTCATTAGGAGTTATGCCTATTAACAAATGAAGGCCCTGAAAACTCTGCTCCATCCACATCACGAAGGTCAACTCTACTTTGAAAAGGGAGCTCTTCCCCAGAGTTTGCCTTCCAACCCAAGGGGTGCATCTCCTGGCACTGTATCAGACAATACTGTCATGTCTTCAACGGCTAATCCTTTCAGATGTGTCTACCTCTCCTTCCTAAGTCTGTCTTAGTCTGGACGCTCCGCTGAAACCTGTCCACGATGGGTGCTCCTACTGGTATTTAAAATACTACCTCAGTACAACAGACAGACGAGTGGTGGATCCAAATACTATCAAACCAAATCCAGCGATTTATACAAAGTGTGAGAAGCGTTGTCTATACTGACAAACGCTCAAGTAACACAGTCTGTACTCATTTTAGCAAGAGTGAGGTTTTCTTTATTCAATTTTGCAAAATCGGACATCCAGCCCTGTAGACAAGGACAGCTCCACATGGCCGGCCACAAAAGGTTTTTACACTTGTCTCCAAAAAGCCCCTCCTCCATCCAGTTCCAGTTCTCCATACACATTTCTATGGCATGGCCCATTTTCTCTCCTGCAGGGCCTCAATTCTCAGCAGCATTGAGCACTGAACCTGAGTGAGTCAAGGGTCCCAGGCAAACAAATGCTCAGATACAGAAACCCTTTCTCCAGGCGTCAAGCCCAAAGCAGCCTTCCTCCCAGGCTCATCTTTGCACTTTCTCAATCTGATTTCCTCACCTCTGTCCCCATTAAATTTAAACCCACAGGAAACAGCTCCCCCAAGGCAACCACATTTACCCCCTCAGAGAGGATGAAAGCCTCCCAGCAGACCTGCAGAGGGATTGCCTCCCCTCATTTGCTTTCCCCAGCACACAAAGAGGCTCCTCCAGAAACCCAACTGGCCCTTCCTTTACAGGTTCAAAACTGGTGTCATAAATGCTTCTTTCTCACAGTAAGACCAAGCTGAACTGCAGTCAGGACCTTTACACTGTGCCCAAGGAGAAAGCCAGGCTGGAACATTCTACAGTATGCGGCTGCTGCTGCTTCTATTTTTTTCCTAACTTTTGTAAAATTATACGTGTCAACTGAGAGAAATCAGTTACCTTAGCCATGCTGTGTCACTCTCACCAGTTGCTAAGTGTTGTCAAGTCGGTTCCCCCCATAAGGACCTTGTATAGGGTTTCCAAGGAGGGGCTGGTGAGCCTGAATACAGACCTTGCGGTTCAAACAGCTTTGCAGTCCAGTGGTCTCTGCAAACTAGCTGCTCCCTAAACAATAGCTCCCCTTCCCCCCTTCCTCCCTTGGTGTTGATTCTACTCAAAGCGACCCCCAGAGGCCGAGGGGCACAGTCCCAGGAGGCTTTCTTGCCTGTAATCTTTCTGGGCGTACACCGCCAGGGTTTTCTCCTGTGGCACTGCTGTTGAGTGGCTTAACCTAATCAACTGGTTTCCACACATTTGCTAAGTCACTTTTATGGCTTCAAATAACTGGTAGATACTTATCTCTTTTCCAAACAGACACCAATTAACTATCATCCTCATAATAAACAACTTCTAAGTCAATTAACTGAATGGTCTCTGTTTAACAGGTCACATTTGACATATGAAACCTAGAGGCATCATTGGGAGTGGACTCTCATTAAGGGGTTAATCAGAAACACTCTTTGGCAAACAAGGGAAGGGGCGGAGAAAATATAGTGATTCTCTGAAACTTGTACTCACAATGTTCCAGGAAGAAAGTGACAAAAAAATGTTGTAGAGACTGATCTCAGGAAATGTATGCCAACCCATACTAATTTTCTTCTCTGACAACCAGAATCACACACTGTCACAAACTCTGCCTTGCATAGCAGATTTTTTTCAATCCATTTCTTCATCTGTGTGTGCAAGTGAATTGTTGTTATGTGCCGTGGAATCGGTTCCGACTCATAGCGACCCTGTACAGGGTTTCCAAAGCTGTTAAATCTTTACGGGAGCAGAAAGCCTCATCTTTCTCCCACGGAACAGCTGGTAGTTTCGAACTGCTGTTCCTGAGGTTTGCAGCCTGATTCGTAACCGCTACGCTATCAGAGCTCCTTTGTGCAGTTGAGTGTTTCCCCCGCAATTCCGATGGAAGTAACAAAGTTCCTGAGCCGCTGTCTCCACCCAGCCCCATAGTCAGCCCGGAAAAGGAATAAACCCAGAGAAACTTCCTACCCTCTGAAAGAAGAAGAAAAAGGCGAAAAGGAACCACCGTTTTACATTTAAAGGAACCAGCTGCCTGATGAAGAAAAGGAACCTGCTGGGTCTGAAAACCTGCCCGGCAGCTGTGCTTAATGAAAATGATGGCCCTCTGAGCCAAGTCCTGGGCCTTCTGGAGAAAAAACGTTTTTTTCCCAAGTGTCCCAGCCTCAGGAGTTGGTCTGTAAAAACAAATCTACTTGGGGAATGTTTCCAATTCACCGTCCTGTCTCCATCAACCAAGAGATGTGTCCCCACAAAGCCAGGGACAGAGACCTGGCAGAACCTGCCTTTCATTACAGAAAGGCTCGGAGTGGACAGCTGGTTCTCCCTCCAGTGGACATGCCCCAGCGCTCGGGGTGGCCGCCCCTCCTAGTGCCATCCCCTCCACGACCTGTGGGAGACCCTTATCATTTGGCCCCACAAACATGGTTGATAAGGAATTGAATGCAGAATCCATTTTGTTAAATTAAAAGCTGCTTCTGAGACCATTTTCCACTCTCATAAAACTTTAACAGTCCCTTGAGCAAACAGACAGAAAGCAAGAATGTGGTCAGCGCAAGTGAGGGGCCATTCCAGGAAATGGACCCAAAGGCCGGCCGGGGGTTTCAGCATCCCTGAAGCAGCCCATCGGGAAGTTAGGTCTGCGATCCTCCTAAAGAGCAGCAGATGTGGTGGAGAAAGATGCGTTTGCACATCTGGATAAAAGCGCTCCCTGTATAAGGCTTCCGAAGAGCAGCTGGTGAGCTTGAACCAGCACCGACCATGTGGTGCAAATCGACTCTGCAGTCCAGCTCATTAACCCACAGAGCTAAGTTTAGTTTTTAGTTATTTAGCACTTTGAAAAACCCCTCATACCCACAGCCAACCTGGTGGCCTGTCATTGTCTTTGATTTCCCAGTGACCCTCCCTATCCACCTCCCGCAGGTGACCCCCTGCCCGCCATGTCCACCTCCCCTCTATCCCCAGTGACCCCCATCTACCTCCCCTCAGTCCCTGGTGATCCTCTCCCTAGGTGCCCACCTCCCACCGGTGACCCCCTGGCCCGCCGTGCCCACCTCCCCAATGCCCCCCGCCCCCCGTCCACCTCCCCTCTATCCCCAGGGACCCCCGTCCACCTGCCTTCAGTCCCCAGTGATCCCCAGTCCACTGCGTCCACTTCCCCTCAGTCTCCGGTGTCTCCCTGCCCACCGTGACCCCCTCCCCGCCATGTCCACCTCCCCAGTGCCCCCCTGTCCACAGTGACCCCCTGTCCACTACATCCACCTCTCCTCAGTCCCCGGTGACCCCCTGTCCACCGCGTCCACCTCCACTCAGTCCGTGAGACAGGCACTGGTCCCCACCCCCCAAGGCACGTCTCATTCCAAGGACCGAGTCCCCATTCAGGAGCCGAGCAACAGCCCTCCTCAGCCCACGTGACTATCAGGGCTCACCTCCTCCGGAGACAGCGCTTCCTTCCGCTTCCGTAAACTGCCCAGCTATCCTGCACGCGGCTCCCTCCCGCCCAATGTTTGAAATGGCAAATACCAGCCTTACACAGCTGCCCTCGCCCACCCTGTAACGCCCCAAGGACCCAAACTCTATATGGACGAGGTTCCCCCCTATGAACCGGGCTCAGTCTCGGGATAAGAATCCGCTGAGCCACGTATCGGCACACTAACGTCCTGCCTTTGTTGTAACCCGCGTGGCGGAGACAATTCCTCCAGTGACCCCCTGCCCACCGTGTCCACCTCCCCTCAGTCCCCCGTGGAGACCCCGCACACTCTGAGGGACGGCGTCTCAGCACGTCCGGCGCCGCTTCCCCTCACAGGCTCCGGGCGTCCCCTCCGCCCCGGCCCCGGCCGCCCGTCCGTGACGAGACCCCGGGGGCTGGTCCCTTCGTCCTGCCGTCGGTCCCTCAGGGTGGGGGCCCTACGTTCGAACGGCCCCGCGCTCACCATCTCCGGCTTCGGCAGAGGGCCCGATGTCCTGTCTGCGAAAACACGGGCTCCCGGAGTCGCGCGAACAGGTAACCTTCAAACCCACGACGCGCTCAACATTGACGTCCAGTCGAATGTAAGACACGTCGTGATTGGATAGTGCTCTAGACCCCGCCCCTGACGTTCCTAATTGGGTTGTCCCAGGGTTGTTGCGTGACAAGGGCGGAAACACATTGCTTATGGGCGGGGATTGCTCAGGACCCGCCCACAAGACGGCCGCATTTCACGCGCTCGCTCTGGTCCTGCGCGCTGCGCAGTCTGTCAGTCTCCTATGGCTCCTCCTTGACTAGAGAGTGCGCAGAAAAAGAAACTCGGTTCCCAGGGGGCTGACCTCTCGTCCCGAGGCAGGACGCCAAGCCAGGAGGGGACTGGAGGGTCTTGTGTCTCTGGGGTCAGCGGTCGGACTGGGCTGAGGGGCCACTCAGGGACTTGTGTCCGCTTGTAAGAATGAGGGATCTGCGTACACGTGGGTATGATGGCACTGAGGGGTCCACCGTCCCTAACCCCTCGCTTGAGATTTTAGACCCTGAAATCCAGGACTGACTCCCCCAGTTACTGTCATATGAATGAAGTTTGAATCCTGCAGGCCTGGTTTAGACTCAAGAACTCTCAGACCAACCGTAAGAAATGATCTGTGTTCATTACAAGTCACAGCCGAGCATTTTACACCGGAAGGGAATTTATTTTGGATCAGTTTCTGGTAGGGTCAAATACAAATGAAAAAGGATAGGTTTTCACTCTCCGGGTTGAAAATAAAGGAAGAGGCCCCCTTCTCCTCCCTAGTTCCTTGAGAATTCACTTGAGAGATCTTGTAAGCTTTTTCTGTCTCTGAAAAGTATGTTAATCAGAAAACCAATTTGCTCTGTAAACTTTCACCCAAATCCCAAACCGTTAAAAATAACAGTACTGCTTCTTACTGCTCTGGTGTGGTGCTGTAGGATCAACATTGGCGGTTCAAACCCACCAGCCACTCTTGGGAAACCCTGCTAAGTGATGTCGAGTCGATTCCAACCCATAGCGACTCTGTATAGATAGGGTTTCCAAGGAGCAGCTGGTGAGCTTGAACCATCGACCTTGCAATTCAAACGACTTTGCAGTCTAGCGCATTAGCCCACAGCGCCATACCAGGACCCCTGGGAAACCCTCTACAGGGTCAATATGAGTCAGAACCGACTCAGCTCTCAAGGGCACCTAACTAGAGGAGGGGTTGGTGAAATGCTAGGTGGGAACTGAATCTGTGTACCTTTCCTACTGTCCTTTTAGCCAGTACAGTATGGCCACTGCCTCAGTTTAATTCTTCCTCTTTGCCTCATCTTAACAAAATCATTGAAGGTTTGCTATTTAGGGGTGAGGTGTGGGGGATGGGAAGTATGTAAATCTAGGGTATTCCCTGAAGCATCTAGGAATCTTCTCCAAATGTCATTATTATGAAAGAACACACCTCAACCTCTCAGCTTTCTGGAAGGAGGTGAAGGCAGCCTCAGGTATTCTGCCCTAAGGACTCCTGGTGTGGCCCTGGAGGATCAGCACTGGACTGTGAACCACAAAGGCAATGGTTCAAACCCACCAGCTGCTCCTCGCAAACCTTAATGCAGGGTCGCTATGAGCCGGTATTGACTCCACAGCACTAAGCAACATTCTGCCATAAAGATACTAGAAAAGTAGTGATTTTATCTGGAACAACGGCATGCAATGGGTTGTATGCAAACTGAAACGAGGGACACCCTGACCCTTGTGCCAAGCCCAGAGAACGTGGCCGCTGCCTGCTCTCATAAGGCACAAGTTAATAAATAACATTAGAGCTAATAACTAGTTTGTTTCTTTAGGTTTATGTCTAACCAGCACCCTAAAGCTTTAGTCTCTACATTCCAAATAGGTGCCTGGCCATCCGGAAACTTGTGTTGGAAGGAACCCCCACTCCCATCCCCACCGGTAATCTGTGTCATCTGTCTTCTTCGCAAAACTGACATTTCTAATACAGAAAGGACTGAAAGCGACATTTTTAGGAATATCTGAACATAATCCCAGTGCCTGGACTTGCCTTTCTTTGTTCCTGCTCAGACTATAAAAACTCCAGTACTACCCTATTTCTTTGGAGCACTCAGTTTATACTGTGTGTTACCCAATTCATGAATTGTATGGGTAATAAGAATCCTGGTGTGAAACAGAGGACCCCAGGACCATCAAGAGAGAAGAGCACAAGCGGAATGCGAGACCTTATCCAGAGAAGCAGCAACACCAGACAGAGATGGAGGCAGAGATGGGGTCATGGAGAGAGGGTGCAGCTGAGAACTCTAGATTCATCGGAAGTGAGGGACTAAGAGATGGTGGCCAGGAGGCAGACTGGCAGAATGTGCCCTTTGCTTCAGTGTTTATTAAAAAAAAAAAAAGCTAAAGTGAATAGAGAGAAATACTGTTAACTGATGGTACATGGAGGGGATTATAATCATTGTAATGAAATAAGGTATATGATTTATTGAATATAAAACTGATGATCTGCCCTGTAAACTTTCACTCAATCCACAATAAAAACCTTAAAAAAAATGAGAGTCCTGGTGTGGTTCTGTAGGATGAGGGCACTGGGCTGCTAACCGCAAGGTCAGCGGTTCAAACCCATCAGCCATTCCTTAGAAATCCTATGCTATTAAGTGCCATTGAGTCGGTTCCGACTCATAGCAACCCCGTACGGGGTTTCTGAGGAGCGGCTGTTGAGCTTGAACCACCAACCTTGTGGTTCAAACCAACCTTGCAGTCCAGTGCATTAACCCATAGTGGCACACCAGGAAACCCTATACAGGGTCGCTGAGTTGGAAATGACCCCACCCACCAGCACTTACAACAGCAACAAAAGTCTACTCAAGTCCTGGTCTGGTGATGTAGGATAAACAAGACTGCTAACTGCAGGGTCAGCAGTTCAAAACCACCAGCTGCTCCTTGGAAACTCTTTGAGGGTGGCTGTGAATCAGAACCGACTGAGCTGGACTGCACTTCACCAGTGGATTATAAAAGGCCCTTGGTGTGTGTAAACAGAGCCGTCTGGAAGCAGAGCTTTACGTCCATGTTACAGTCTGGACAGGAGTCTAGAATCTCTGTTCATTTAAGCTGCCTTTTAAACAGCACTTCATCCGACCCTGATGCTGAACTTAACAGAGACCCTCCAGGAGAGCCTTCTTCTGAGGCCTGGCAGGTGCAGGGACCACAATTTCCCCAGCAGGTCTCTCCTCTGTGGGAAACAGATGAAAGATGTGATAGCTTATGCCGAGAGCGTCTTTTTTCTTTTTCTTTCATAATTGGTATTTTATTGGTTATTTTAAGGGTCAGTAAGTACAGAGGTGATATGAACAATCTGTACACAGTCCTTACTGTATGTCCCAAGAATCTAAAAAGTCGTGTAGTTATAACTCTTTTCTGAATTCCACTGACTTTCCAGCTTCCAAGTTGGAGGCAAGTTTTCCATATAAGGACACCAAGTCGCAATATTGTTGTTTATAGGCTGTTACACATCCCACTGATTCACAATTTACTGTCACACACACTCTACACTCAAAGGTTCAACCTTTCACAGCACCTAACAAAGTATGGAGTCCTGGTGTGGCACCGTGGGTTGGAGCATTGGATTGCCAGGTTGGTTTGAACCGCAAGGGTGGAGGTTCAAGTTGCAAGGTTGGTGGTTCAAACTCACCAGCCACTCCTTGGAAACCCTATACAGGGTAGCTAAGAGTTGGAACCAGCTTGATTACATTTAATAACAACAACAAAGACATTAGGAAAACTGGACAGCCACGACCAAAGGTGTTCTGGACTGCACAGTTCTGACGGGGAGAGCTATGAAGAGGAAGCGATTTTAAGAAACAATTTTACTAAACTACACGGAAGTGTTGTTCTTAGGTTCCGACTCATAGTGACCCTACGCACAACAGAACAAAACCCGGCCAGCCCTGTGCCATCCTCACAATTGTTCTGTTTGTGCCCGTCGGTGCAGCCACTGTGCCAATCCACCCAGTTGGGGGTCTTCCTCTTTTTCTCTGACCCTTTGCTTTACCAAGCATGAGGTCCTTCTCCAGAGACTGTTCCTTCCTGATACCATGTCCACGGTACATGAGACAAACATGAAAACAGAAATGATTTTCAATGTTATTCAGGTCATATAAATGTATGACCAGGACTCCAAACTGCTTTATATTATGGGATATAAAACTGTTCCCCTTCCATGGAACAAGGCAGTCAAAGCCTCCCACAGTTCAACATCCCACTATTTCCTGGTTGTACCAAAAAATACCAGCAAATGGTTCCACCTCATTCAAACACCACCACCACCTTAAAAATGGGATAAAGTGAGATTTCTCTTTTAATGTTTCTAGAGCGAGCTCTGGTAGCGTAGTGGTTACAAATCGGGCTACGAACTGCAAGGTAAGCAGTTCGAAACTACCAGCTGTTCCGCGGGAGAAAGATAAGGCTTTCCGCTCCTATAAAGATGTACAGTCTCAGAAACCCTGTATGGGGTTGACTATGAGTCGGAACCGACTCCACGGCACATAACAACAACAGAGCCACCAAAAGTCTGCATTTACAAAATGGTGGTGTTGGTATGCCTTGGAGTCGGTTCCTACTCATAGTAATCCTGAGTAGGGTTCCCGAGGCTGTAAATCTTTACGGGAGCAGAAAACCTCATCTTTCTCCTGCAGAATCACAAGCAGTTTCAAACTGCTGACCTTGAGGTTAGCAGCCCAACTTGTAACCACTACGTGACCACAGTTGTTGTTGTTGTTGTTGAGTGCCGTCGAGTCGGTTCCGACCCATAGCGACCCTGTACAGGGTTTCCGAGGGTGTAAATCTTTACGGGAGTAGAAAGCCTTATCTTTCTCCCGCGGAGCGGCTGGTAGTTTCGAACCACTGACCTTAAGGTTTGCAGCCCGATTCATAACCACTACGCTACGTGACCACAGTAGTTGATAAAAATATCCCTT